GTAGTTCTTAATACATCATTCAAACCGGTTATAACTTTATCGAACGTCTATTGCTTGTAGCCGTAAACAGGAGTAAACTTCAGCATTTAGAAGCAATTTTATATACCCATCAGCATTCATCACCGTAATAGGTTCCTTTTGTCTAATTCACCTTGAAAGTATTGACTTCAGATGTAAAATGGAACCAAAAGCACCGTGTCCCTTTCCTGGTGTCGCTTAATATTTGAAAAAAAGATCGAATGGAAAGTTATATTAAGTGTATTTAAATAATCAAACTGTAGTTTCTTTGTATTATGTGAGACCTTTTGAGAACATCTCAATGTATTTCTGCTCTATTCTCCTCCTTGTTTGAAGGCAACTGACATTCTTCTTTCACTTTTCTTTTTGTTTGTGAAATTTTCTCCTTTTTTTTAGCCACTCACTTCTCCATCTGCTTTCACTTTTGTTTGCTTGGGCCGTCTCTCATCCCAACTTGATAATGAGGAATGCGGTGTGACCCTGACCTCTATCAGCCCATGCATGACCTTCTGACTCCCCCACATAACCTCCGACCTTCTCTTTGACAGCTTGATTAATTACCCTGTGTTATGATTTATGAGTAAGTGCTATGTAAAAATAATAGACAACAGGTGGTCCTCTAAAAACTTTTTGTGGCATATTTTCTTTTCCTGCCTGGCTTGATGAGCTATTTTAAGTTGGGAACTTCGTGGGACAATGTGTGTTTGGCAGTAACGCGGCATTTTTACACACTTGGGCACGATGCTGGAATTCAGGCAGGCGAGGTGTAAGCGGGGATGGAAACATCTCAAAGTATTAGCGGGGAGCAGTTGCCAAAATGTACATTGAGTGGAAACAGAAAGCGGAGTCAACTGACATTTCAGGCGTTTCAGTCTCAGGTCACGTCTTGAGAAAATTGCTCGAATAATGGAGGGGGCATTTTTCAAGCTGAGCCGCATCTCCAGCAGCTATGTTTACTTTAACGCTTCACTAGTGACTTCTGATTGGTTGTCATGACCTCATCCCACTCTCGCACCTACGATGTTGCAACAGTGACACGGACAGACCCTTCTCGTGGAAAAGATGGGAAAGGAGGAGAATGGGCACCCTTCAGAAAGACGAATGGATGCGCCTGTGTCCGTTTTAACCATGGGCAGATTTAAGAGCTGACTGTGTTTGGGCTGCATTTTCGCTGGGAGGTAACTCCAGTCTTGTTGCCAACGATCCAAAGGGAAACCTAAACTTCGAAATTTGGTTTGATAAAGTTTAGGAAAAATTATCTCTTTCAGACCCCCTTGCTCGCAGTCCAAAAAAAAGGTAGTTACACAGGTCAAAAGATTCCTCTCCAGCCCTGACCCCTCTGGTCACATATGGTGTCCCATCTTAGTGGATTAATATGCAGAGCTGAATGCTTTCAGCTCATTATTCATGTGGCCAGGCAGAAGAGATTTCAAAAGATCTGGAATTTACCTCGAATGCTTTGGGATTCTTTTTTTTAACCTTTCCCTTGCTGTCAGAGGCAGTAATTTTGGTATTCCTTCCCTTTCCAACATCTCTCTTGAACTTAGAGTAAGAGGCAGAAAGTACTGCTCCATTTCTGCTCGTGTATTGCAGTGGAAAAGGCCCTACTACATTGCTATGGCTGTGTAGTAAAGGTGGTGTAACTGGGTTTCACAACTCTTCCCAACATGACTTGTGTCAACTTGCTTATCCATTCCTTTTTTACTGGGTCACTCATGAACATGAACTGTATTTCTGTTTATGAATCCAAAAGCGGCGTCCACGCACGGTCCTCTGCCTCCAGAAGTGGTTACCTGGAGGATTGCTAGCGCAATGACATTTTACTTACCTGGAAGCATTTGAATTTGGGGAAACAGTTGTTAATTGGGTAATTCCAGCCTGAGAGAGACACGGCGATGGTGTCCACTGGATGAAGGGCTGGGACTTGTATTTATCAGTGTCTGTCCTGATTATTACGTCTCGTCAGAGACTCTGTAACAGGGGCTTACGAGCCAGACCGTGGCTCCCTTGCGACATCTGTATTCTCTCAGACATGTGGTGGATCACAGGGCCTGGCTCCCTTCATTTGGTTGATTGATGCCTGGCAGGGGCAGGAGGGTTCTCCCAAAGTTTAGCCTTTTTTGATTTTCTTTTTTTTTTTTTTTTCTCCCATGAAAAAGTTTTGCCACAGGTGACGAGCTTTGAAAGCTCTCCTAGGTGATGGTACTTACTTACCTCACAGGTCACCACGTTTCAATCACACTGTAAGCTCCTCATAGCTGAAACCGGTGTTTTTAGTGGCATTGTGAGATATATACTTCCAAACACGACTTCCGTGTAAAAAGGTGATTTTTAATGCACATGATTTCATCTTTGCTTAACAGGAGTGCCAAAGAGTGTGCATCTTGCCTGTTACTAAAGGTTGGTAAAGGCCTTTATTTAGATATCAGTGGTCTTGCTTGCTCACTTTTACATTCATTTGCACTCTGCTCATCCCCACCACACGTTAGTGAGGACTTGCAACTTCTTTTTATTTCTCTGTATGCCCACACAGAATACATTTTTTAAAAAAATTAATTGAACTTAAAAGACCCATTGTTTACCTAGATGGTGTTTAGGGCTGGTTGTTCCTTTTTAGTAGAAAATACTTGAACTAAGGCAGAATGAGAGAAGTTATGATTGGGTAAAAATTTTACCAGTCATTTAGTTTTTCCCTGTTGCTTTATAGATGTTACTCTTACATCTTCTTTCTCAAGACATTGTTTGCGTCTTGCGATTTAGGAAGGGAAAAGGAAACACTACATCATGTAAGCAAAATAATCTGAAAGGAGATTACTTTCCCGAAAGTCATGTGAATTGTAAGAGGTGGGGGTTTTTCTCAATTATGGGAAAGCCTATATCAGTTATTACTTAATTATTTTAACTGTACTTATAGGAAAGACCTGCTGTCTGGGAGAAATTTAAAAAGAAAAAGAAAATGTAAAGGGAGACATGTTACACTACTTAAAATATAATTGATAAAAATAGTTTAATTGATTTATGAAACAATGAATTTAAAAATGGAATCATATTTCATCTGTTGATGTCTATGTGAAAAATTGACATTGTGTCCTCATAAAATTGGACAAATGAGTCATGTAATTTTCTACTACATAATCAATAACTTAGACAAATTCTACTTCTTTGATGATTTATGGGTCTCTTTTGTGGTCAGCTTAAAGTGGACACAGAGTTTCAGAACCCTCTAACACTTGTAGACCTGTAATAAACACATGAATTTTGCATCTGGCGTTGTGTAGAAAGTGAAATGAATTGATGCACAGAACATCTCCACTTGGAACAAGTGGGTCAAGAGCAGCACCTGTAGCCTCAAAACCACCAGCCTGCCCAAGGACCACCAAAACTTGCCTCAAAACCCATCCTCTGGGATGGAATTTAGGAGTGTCTGTAAGCCGTTACCTTCCCCCTGCGACAGGTTCGGGGGTTTTTGAGTTTTCCCAGTTGGAAATCCCGTGTGATGGTCGTAGCATGGCGTGTTAAAGCACGCAGCGATGGCTCTGGGTAGAATTCAGGCTTTGTCTTCTTTAATTTCCCTTTTCCCTTTCCACTTCCCCCATCCGGTTTGTTTATTTGTTTGCCAGTTTGTTTGTGTTTTTGCCATCTCAGTCTGCTCAGCGGGGAGGGCAGAGGAGGGACGTGACAGGAGACCACTTACTCACAGCCCTGCGCCTACCGAGGAGGCAATTTTCTCTTTGGTCTATAGTGACCTTTTTTGACTACGTCCCTTACGCCAGAGACAGTGTCCTGAATGCCTCTATTTCACCCTGTTTAGCAGAGTGCATCCGTGCCCTTTAACATGGTTTTTGGTGGGAGGAGAAGCTACGGCAGACGTTTGAGAAGGGCACAAGGACAAGGGGTAGGAACTCCCTTCAGATGCGATTTTGATAGCTAGTCGAGTGTGTCCAACTGTAGAAAATCACCAAGTGACAATCTGTCTACCTGACAGTGGCCACAATGCACTACAAGGTTTGTGAATGGCTCTACAGATTAGAATAAAGCGAGCCCAAATAAAGTATCTTTTGTTGGTGCTGGCTTGGTTTGCTCCGGCCAGCTAGGTATGGGGACCTCTTTGATCCCCTGCCCAGCCCGAGTGCAGAACGAAGCACTATGTGAAAAGCTGGGATAAAGCTGTTTGGTTAGATAATTAACACAGGCGTTGCCAAAAAGCAAGTCTTTATTAAAATTTACTTTTAAAGGACAGCTTCATTTTGACTGGGAACCCATGGTAACTTTAAGGACTCATCTGCTAAACGCACGTGCTTCTCTTTTCTCCCTGCGCTCCCGATTATGTCTTCCACGAATATTACAATCCTTGTGTGATTTACCATCCTTTAAAAAATCATAATAAAATGATTGGCTGATTTATTCAAGATTTATTCCACATTCATAAATTCATGTATTTTGCAACTGGCTCATTTTCTAGAGGCGCAGAAATGCAGCTGGTACGCTCAAAAAGCAACCTGCAGGTCACAGATTTTCTCAGAGTTTGTTGAATACAGGACATAATCCCAGTGAAGTTTTAGAGCATATTTAAAGGTGTACTTAAAAGTCTTCCCTGCAGTAAAAGAGTTGACTTGTAAGCAATACCACTGAATCAGTTTTAGTATTGATTCATTGTTACTGCTGCTATTGGCTTCTGCATGATATCCTTGTTGTCAGCTAGACAAAACGTTTTACTGTTTTAAACAGCAGTGAATAGTTTTCACATGCTTTCTTTTATATATGTGTGTGTATGAAGTCCCTCCATCCTTTTTTATTTTAAAGGTTTTTATTGACTGGGTATAGAGCTTTTTATTCATCATTATGTAGAGTTCTCAGAATAATATTTTGCTTTTAGTTCTTGTACTGTTTTCTGAAAAAAAAGTCATATAAAGTGCATATGAATAAAACAACATATTACATTATTTTAAAGGTAAACCAGGCAACTTTTCTGATGCTGACGGATGCGTATGAGCGTAAGTGCACGCACAGACACTTACTCACACATCAGTATCCCTTTAATGACAGAAATGAAACAAACAGAATATTCCTAAAATACCCTTCTGTAAATTATGTTGTGTGAACTTACTGAAATAAATATAAAAGTTTTTAAGAGCATTAAAGTAGCTGCAAAAGCATTTTCAAGCATTAAATCTCCCTTTTCATATTTCTTCTTTTTCTGTGTGTGTCTCTTCTGAAACAGGAAGGCTATGGAGTAATAGTACTGAATCCCAATGAGAACTATATTGAAGTGGAGAAGACAAAAGCCCAAGTACAGCTGTCTTCTGATGGCTCAGATGAACCTGCGGAAAAGAGGGAAAGAAAAGATAAAATCCAGAAGGAAACAAAGAAGCGACGCGACTTCTACGAAAAGTATCGAAATCCACAAAAAGAAAAAGAAACTATGCAGGTGTATATTAGAGTAAGTTTCTTTTGGGTTTTTTTGCCCTTCTTTACTGACATATAGATACGTTTACTGTCCATACTGGCTAATAAACTGTACGCTGTTTTAAAAACAAACACATTACCAAAATGACATTCAGGAGTTCATAGAGTTCCTTTATTCTATTGACGCTTTTTTGTCAGTTATTGAACGTGAAGTTTTGTAAGAGTTATAAAACACTCCTTTCTCATTTCAAAGGAGAACTTCAAATGAACCCCAGAGGAACTCACTGATGCTATCAGGAAAGAGAATGATTTAAGAAAGGCTTTCTAAAAAATGATTTTATAAACAGAGGTGTACATAAGAAATGCTTTTTGGTGCAGCTTAGGCAACATATTAGCTTCACATGTCATGCATGCATTTATTTTATTATATTATCCTATATTGAAGAAACAGTAGCTATAGCTTGATAGTTTTTTTAATGTATTACCTGCTGAATTAATAATGTATTGTGGAAAATACCGGTGTTCATCTTGTGTGGTAGCAGATTTACCCTATAATGTATTGTTTTCCTATGAGCAGCCATCCATTGTGCTTCAGCTGAACTTCTGAAGGAAGATAAAGGAGGAGAGTTATTAATATCTTAATAAATATTTAAGCTAGAATAGTTCGAGAATGGTGTAATGAGGAGACTCTGTCCCTTGCTCTTTTCTTACTCAGAGAACCTTTGCACTTTGTAATGCTACCAGCATGGGATCGTGATAACAGTGCTACCCAAGGATTTCTAATTCTGCAGGGGGCACAAACAATATTATTTGCACTTTGACACATTCTCCTTCATATACATACTATGCATTATACATTCAAGACTTCGAGTCATGCGATTTCCAAAGCCCTTATTATGAAAGTTAGCGTTTTCATTCAGCAGTGAAACATGTCAGAAACGCCCCAGTGCAGTTAAAACACTAAAAACGTATAGGCCTTTCTGGTGTGAAACAGATTAAAATCCAGCAGAAGGCACGTTAGAATCATCTTAAATTTTAATGACTCCCAATTATTTGCGGTTTAACGTAAGAATCTTTGTAGAAGTACAGCCATACCAGCTAGTTAAAAGGGTTTGTAACCTGGATGTGAAATTATCACTAATACCATAAATATTACTGTGTCTTTTGAGAAACATCTCGCTGAGATGGGAAACAAAAGAGTACATACACAAATCCAAAGTTACCAAGAGGATGGTGTTTTGTTTTTTTCTTTCCTCTGCTTATTCTGAGAGATGCCATTCTGCCTACCAGCCAGACTCTGCTTCTAAAGAGGAGTCACCAGCCTTCTCTTGGGGTCCATCAGGACAATGGTGCTGTTGTCCAGAAAGGCATTTATTTGCCATGCTAGTCCAGTGTCCCCTCACTGAAAGTGAACCTTTATCTTTTTTTCCTTTTTTTTTTTCATTTTAAATACCTTATTTGCAGTTCTACCTTTTCCTGGCTCTTTTGCTTGATGAGGCTTGAAATTTGGCTTCAGGAGGTTTGACCCCCGAAACATAAAATGCATGAGTCCATCGCATTTTCTTTTTTGCTCAGCTCTATGCCTCGAATATGATTGTTCACGTTCCCTTTGTCTGGTCTTCTTCAAACCAAGGAACGAAGTTGCATGAGATGTAGTGAAAGTGTGGGCAGTTGCCTCCTTTACTGGGCAAATTAGCTGAAACTGGGTGTTCTGAAAGAATTCTTTGTTTTGTTCTATTTTTCTTTAATCGTCTCTAGTACAGACAGTTTTTTGAAACAGAATGCAGACTGCTGGGGGGATTGTTGGAGCTGCTTTGGGGGGACCTCAGAGGGCAATTTAGATGTGACCTCTGCTTACTGTGTAGTATAGCATAGACTTAGAATCATAGAATAATAGAATGGCCTAGGCTGGAAGGGACCTTAGAGATCATTTCAATCCAGCCTCCTTGTCGCCAGGGACTCCACCTCTCAACTAGATCAGGCAACACATGGGGACCGAACGGGAAGGAACACCCTAAATCCTCCTGTGTTATATTTTTAGTTTTGCATGTGTTCTAATGGAGTGGCTATTTCTTACCTAGCCTAATTTTTGTTTAAGGTCATCCTCTGATTTCTGGATTCTTTCTATGTCCCACAATCTCCTAACATTTTAAACAGTGCCAGAGTCCTGGAGAAGCAAAGCATGTGTATGAAACATTTTTTACATGAGTTGAGACTAACTTGTTCTCCAGAACAGAACTTTCATTTTTGTGTCCGGAGACTAACTCCTTTTTTTCCCACATCTTGAACTGCCTCATTTTCCAGCCAGATAGAAGCAATGAGGACTCTTACCATTCATACTATTATACTATTATGCTGTGTCATTTGGGCAGATGAAAGACTCTAATTTGAACATCATACCTGGCACAAGTTTAAGTTCATAGAATCATAGAATCATAGAATCATAGAACAATTCAGGTTGGAAAAGACCCTTGGGATCATCGAGTCCAACCACTGACCCTACACTACAAGTTCCCCCCTAAACCATATCACCCAATACCACATCTAAACGACACTTGAACACATCCAGGGATGGTGA